CAAACAAATACACACACACCACAGACTCACACACATACACATACACACACATACACACCACACACTCAAACATATACATAGCCAACACACAACATACACACCACACACACACTCAAACATATGTACACACACCACATACCACATGAACATATACACATATACATACACTCAAGCATATGCACATACCACACACACATATGCACATACCACACACTCACACATATATACACACACAGACACATACCTACACACACTCAAACATACACACACACACACACACACACACACCCCTCTGTGAGGGCCCTGGACCTGTGTCTACGCCACATGGTTGGCTGGACACCAACTGTGGCTGCATTATGGGACACTGTTTTGAGTGGGGGCGCAGGAATGGACAGGCGAGGGAGGCATGGTGCATACTTTTTCTCCACATAAAAGCTTTTAAAGCGGAGGCTGCATGACCTCGGTTGACCTTGAAGACGTGACTTCAACAAGCTCTTTCTCAACACCCCCAGGCCTTCAGGGCACCCAGGCCAGTCCTGCGAGGCACGCCCTCGCCAGCCAGCTCTGTTGCAATGTTTGTTTACATGTCCTATACCCAGAATCACCGACGGAGCACGACAGAGCGCAGAGTGAAAACTCCCGCCTGTGACGCACCGTGATATTGGGAATGTTCCGGAAAGCCCCGGCTCAGGGGTGGCTCAGACCTTCTTGTGATTGCTTTGCTTGACTCAAAAGAGCCGAGCCAGTGGAAGGCAGCGTCGAGGGGCAGCAGTGATTCTAAAGGCAGCTCAGGACCAGGCCAAGGGACGCTGGGCCATTTCAATGGCCCTCCTGCAACCTGAGGGTCAGATGGGGCCAGGCCATGGATCTGCACACTCCACTGAGCCCGGGGACTCGAGGTTTTCCCGCTCTGGAAACAAAGGAAGAGGGGAAAGGCCGCAGCGCCATTGTAGAATTTGAAAACCACACCCTCACACAAGCCAGCGGTCACGTGTGTCTCCCTAGAACTCGCCTGCCCACGATCTTCACCTGATCTGCGCCAACAGGCCGGGAAGCGAGACCACAGGGTTTTCAACGACTGATTTTGCCACATGCCTTTGCCTACGGCCACCGAGTCAACTCTGACTCACAAGGACCTAAGAGGTGGAAGGGGACAGAAACCCTCCTTTGAGAGTCTGAGATGGTGCCAGCTTTGTGCCGCAGAGCGGCTGGGGGGTTCGAACCAGGCTGGGCACAACCCAATGCCTAACCCACGGAGTCAGCAGGGCTCCCTATTGTGGAACTCGGTCAATAAGAACCAGGTAAGTCATGAGAGCTCTTGCTGCCACTGGGCCAGTGCTGACTCACAGCGACCCCTTGTGGGTTTCATGTGCATCTCAGCCCAGTGACAGCTACAGGGCACTAAAAAGCACAACAAACACTCTCTTCCACAC